ATAAATTAGTTTTAATATATATATATATATATATATATATATATATATATATATATATATATATATATATATTCAATATATTTATTGGTCTCATGTGAAAGTTAAAAATAATTTATATTTTATTTTTCTTTCTCAAGCAATGTCAAAATGTCTTTTAAAATGTAACAAAATAAAATAATTTAATGGGTTAAAAATATTTAATGACATAATAATTGAATTTAATGTGCTTTTTCATCGCTCGCTAATCTTAAAAATGAAACTATATACATGAAAAGAAAATAAAAATTGAGATGAAGAAATTGAATATTAAAGATTGGATGGATGAGTTGAAAACGATATGTTTGATGGAATGGTTCATGACTGAAGGTGAAAGTCCAGGAAGTAATGGAAGGCTTGTAGGTGAATATGGGAAGAAAAATATGAAGAACAAAATAAGAAGAGATTCGATGAAATGGGACAATAAAGTATTTCAAAATTAATTACATCAATTTTCATCTAAAATATTTTAAAATTAATTACATAAAGTCATAATATTTAGAGAGCTTCAATATATGACCCATAGATACATTTGGCTGTTTACAAAAAAAAAAAAAAAAAAAAAAAAAAACTCCAAAATAATGGTGAAGTTGCATTCAAAAAAATAAGTTCTGGAGAAGTTGATAAAAGACGTTGTTTTAACTTAATAGGTGCACATTGTTCATATTTCCTTAATAACTCATCTTTTATTATTTCATAATTTAATATAATACATTTTATCCTAAGTAAATTAAGTTTAAGTTGAATTTTCTTTAGGATGAAATTTGACTAATTCTAACCTAATATGGGATGGATTAGATGATAGATTCTGTAACCAACTTATCCAATTAAAATAATTAAATTATTTAATTATATTAGTTAAACATGTATTTTTGAACTATTAAATTTTTCATATTTTAAATAATATTTTTTTAACTATTTTTAAAAATATGTGATTCAATGGACCCAATTCTATTAAAGATAGATTGAATTACCTATGAAAACAAAAATGTCAACTAAAAAATTTATTGAATTGAGTGATGAGTTTTGTTGAATTGGAATATACACTCTTATTTCAATGCTATTAGACTAATCTAACATATTTATTCAATAATACCTTCACCAAATTCCTTAACATGTAAGTTTTTTTTAATGCATAATTTATTATTACCACTTCATCTTTTTATAACTCACATACATTTAAACTATTTTCAATATTCAATATTTTACCACATCTTAAAATTAATCATAATCTCAAGATTTTTATTCACTAATCCAGTAATCTAAAACTATTTTTATGGACTAATAATAAGGAGATTTTCACAAATAGAACTTGAACCAATCATATAAGATAATATGATATCACTCTCAACCAAAAAATATAAAATAATATGGTATCACTCTCAACCCAAAACTTTAAGACAATATATTATAGGTTTTTCTTACTTATAAGTTACTCAACTTTCAACTTTCTCATTTCTATATAATATGGAACTTCAACTCCACGCTTAAATTCTAAACAATAACATGTACATTATTAGAAACAACTCCCATATTAAATTATAGTTGTTAAAATATGTTTCATAATCAACAATTACCAAAATTTCAAACCATTATCATACAACCAAAAACATACCATATTCATTTAGAAAAGTGTCACTTCCTTGACTTATATTTTCCAATAAAAAGTTATACTTTTAAATTTCCATCACATTACAAAAAAAAAATAATAAGAATACCATTAAATGAGAATTTTCGATAAAGCTACTCACAGTAATACCATATATTCACGCATTCATAACCCTAAATAGAAAACAATTTTAAAGTTGAGTTGTAAACTATAATATATATGTGAGATTTTTTTCAAAACCTGATGTAACAGAAGAAAGAAAAAAATAACATATATTATATTATGATTTATAAAATGAAAGAGGAAAGAAAAGTTTGATATAATATAAAAGAACATAGATATATTTAAAGAGTAAAAAAAAAATTGAAAAGTTTTTTTTAAAATAAATTAATATATAAAAATTATAATTAAAAAATTGTTATAATTTATATATTTTTAAAATAATAATAATATGATACGGAAAAAAAGATTAAAAATTTAAAATAATATTTTAGAAGAAATCAGTCATATATTTGGATTGAATAGTAAAAAAAGAGAAAATTTATGAAAAATAAAATTGTTTAAATTAAGAAAAAAAGGGAAGAAAAATGAGTAGAGATAATAATAATAAAATCAATTTAATTGATTAAAAATAAATTAATTAATAAATTATCAAAATATTTTTATTTATATAATTTATTAAGTATCAATATAAATTAAAATTAAAATATAACTTAATAAAAAGTAAATATTTAATAAAATAAATAAAATTAAAATTAATGTAAATCTAAATCTAAATTAAATATTATAAATAAAATAATTACTTTATCATTATTATTATAAAAAATTAAACAAGAATATATATATATATAACTTATTTTCTTTTGTAAATAATATTTCATTATTATTATTATTATATCCTTATTTAATATTTTGATTTATTTAAATATTTTTACATATTTTAAAAAAATATTTTTAATCTATACAAATTTAAATACATTTTTAATTTTAAAAAATAAATTATATGTAATTATAATATTTTTATATTTAAAAGTCAAATAAATTTTTTAAAATAATATTTTACTTGTTTTTCAATTATAATTTTTATTTAATTTTTTCAAAAATTATATCAATAAAACTATTTGACTCTTATCCAATTTTAACTAAAATTAAAAATACTATATATTTTTCTTTTAAATTTATATTACCAAATTATTGATAATTTTAAAATATTTTTTGCAAAATTGTTCCTATGAAAAATTGTTATCCATTTGATAATTATTTATTTCAATATAAAATAAATTTAAAATATTAATAAAAATAAATAATAAAACTAATTAAATTAATTTTAAAAACACAATTAAAATAACTTAAAAAAAATAAACTTATTCATAATTTAAACTTAAAATTTAAATAATTACAATTATAAAAGTTTAACTATAAATCTAAATTTTACATTATAAAAATGAAAAAATTATAAATAAATAGTTCATATAATAACCAATACATTTATCATAAATAAGTATATATAATTAAATCATATTTTAATTATTTTATTTTAATAATAATAATTAATATTTTTTATGTACTAATATAAATACGTTTGTATTTATTTAAGTAATAAAATTGAAGTTTTAAGTATTTAAATTATAATTAATTTGTATTTTACATCTATTACAATTAAAATAGAATTAATTATATAAAGAAAAGATAATCAATTATTCTTTGTTACTTAATTGATTATGTACTAAGGTATAATTAATTATTTCTTATTCTATAATTAATTAATTATTTATTTTATATAATAGTTAATAATTAGAAAGTAATAAAGATATTTTGTAAAGGTTTCAAAGAGATCACAAACAAATTATCTAAAATCATCAAACCTAAATTATATTTTTCTTTGCAAAATCATATATAAACAAGGGTAAAAGAGAAGAAAATATGAGACATAATTGAGGGAAAAAAGAAAAAAAAATTATTTTTTTTATAAAAATTAATTATAATAAAATATAAACTAGCAAACAACGCTGTAAAAAGCAAAACTTGTTTGTTAATACATGTTTCTCTTCCCCTCCTCTCCACCCACACCACAACATGAAGTGTATATTTTAAAAATTTTATTTTAATATTATGTATAATAAATATTTTGGTTGGAAAACATTACAAATTATATTTATCCTATTGTATCTAAGTTTTATTTATATATTTATCATTGCATGTTTAGAATGGTAATATAAGCGGTTGTCTGCTTTAAAAATTCTTAATATTTTGCCGAGACTAAAAATATATTAAAAAAATTATAGACCTTTTTTTATAATACGGATAAGTTTATTAACTACAAATAAATTGGTATGTGTTAATAATCTATAAAATTTTATATAAAAAAAATAGAAAAAAAAATACAACGCACAAATAACTATAAATATCATTTACCTTCTAAATAAATTTAGCGAAAATATTGGTTTAAGAATTAGAGACTAAAATCAAAATTTAAAACTTTTCGGTGAAAAACAAAATTATTATGTTATGATAAATAAAATTGTAATAATAAAATTAAACACATGTTTACAGTCATACATCAATCATACTTATATATTGCAAGATAAAAGTGATTAACAAGACAATAAAAAACAGATATTATTTACACTTCATTGCAGATCATTATTTTCACGATAAATTTATAAGAAAAAGTATAAAAGTAAAGCAAACAATTTCAAACCGACCTCGTCATCAACTTTTACAGATTTTGGTCTAGTTAAAGAAAACCAGAGGTGATTGTGTTAAGATCCCACCGTTTATTTTGTTAAATCTCACTTTCATTACATTAGTAAAAATTATTAAAATAGAAATATCACTACTCAGTTCAGAGAATTCATAATCGATTATAATAAGACTCCATGTTGTATTGATATTAACAATTTATCTAAATAAAACTATTGAAAGAAATGTGTAAGAAACATGCCTGCAACTCGCTTGAAGCTGTTGATCTTTTACTGCCTAGTGTTAAACCTTATGGTAACGGGTTATGTACGAATATTGACGATGTAATAAGGTACAACTTTAAAATCAGATCTTCAAATTCATCGTTGAGCAAACATCGTCTAACAATAAGATTTATTAAGCAAAAAAAATCGCCAATGAATCTAATTACAGGCAGCAAAGTAAAATTAGGATGCGAACTAAAGCTGAAATTATTTCATAACTGTAAAAGGAAGCAATCGGTTGGATCTCAATTAATCCTGTATTTAAAGGTTACAGTTCAGTTGTCTTACGAAGCCAACTATAGCCGAATTTTAGAAAACATAATTAAGAAATGCACCTGGAATTGATCTTTTACAAGCTAAAAACAAAAGACACAAGCAGGCTAACCGACTCATTTTTTGCTTGTCTCCAAATTCATCTTCTGAAGATTCAACAACAGATCATCTGAATTCAGGTAAACTCTGTTTGCCGCGTTTGATATGGTATGCGCAATCTCTCTAGCTGCTTCTATCTTCCTCAATGTGATAAATGCTGGATTCTTGGCAATAGCTTGTCCAATCAGTTGGGCACTTTTTGCTTCACCCTGTTCATAAAGGTTAGTTACAAAGGTCAAGGAGAACTCAATAATAACGAAGTAAAAGTGGTCCGATACGCAAAACTGTCGATAACAAACTATATATACTAAATTTAAAGTCTCACTTTAACTTGACAGGTAGATTTATGAACAGGTCATTTGTTTCCAAAGAAAAACCTAACCAGAATAATGGCAGTATAGTTTACCCAGCAAATAACACATTTTCCAGAAAATCTACAATCTGTATTGGAAATATTAAAATTGCAGCAACTTCTTCTAAGCATCACAGCAATAACTGTATCTAAGCATTAATAACTCATAATCACCTGAGCTCTAATTACAGCACTTTTCTTGTCTTGCTCAGCTTTTTCCACAACAAATTTAGCTCTCTCGGCTTCTTGTGCAGCCACCTGCTTAGCTTCAATTGCAGCAGTAAACTCCTTGCCAAAAGTTAAACTAGTAATGGACACATCATCAAGGAAAATATGGAAGTTAGCTGCCCTCTCAGTCAGAATCTTCCGGATCTCCCGACTAACAACCTACAAATATTAAGGTCAGTTAAAATATTAAAGTTTAAACGCATTTTCTTTTTTCTAGAACTGAATATTTCAACTAGAATAAGAAAACATTCTGTGAAAAATAAAGAAAATAGGAAGGATGTGATTTATGTATAAACATCCTTAGATTGGATTTTGATAACAAAAACATTCTGCTATGGTGTACTCATAAACTGATTTCAGCAGAACATTAAAATTAGACTAATCGCTAACATGTATCCATTGAAAAAATAAAATAAAATTCATATTTGTTTACACCATGTCAGCAGCTAGGAATCACTTTTAAATAGATATTAGAGCTTTCATGCATCACCCGGACATGGTTTGTTCCTTACCTCTCGTTGAGTAATCAGCTGGCTGGCATTGTACTGGGCAACCACAGCTTTCAGAGTTTCGTGTACGATTGAAGGTAAAACCCTTTCATTATAATTCTGTCCAAGGGTCCGATAAATAGTAGGTAATTGGTCAGGCAAAGGGCGAGTAAGAACTCGAAGCCCAATTTTCACCTGTATAGCATGCATGTGCAATTAAAAAAAGGTCAGTATTGTACAGTTAAAACTTTTAAAATATGAAATGTTTGACAATGGTTTCTAGAAACCAAACATACATTTTTTTTACCTAGAAAGTGTTAACTGAAACTTCCAACATCCTATCATCCACAGTGGAGATAAAAAGGGCACAGAATGAATAGCACAAGACAGTGGGAAAAAGGACCGTATGCAGATAATGATGGAGTGTGTATCACCGCAGATACCTTCACCCATCAGAAACAAAGGCTAAGCTTTAAAATCAAAATTGGGATTATAGTATGAAATACTGACGAAGCATTTACATACGATAGTTAGACTTTAAAGCCAACAATCAGATGTCTAACATTTTCAAATTTCAGAATTAAATGATTTTAAAACACCAAATGGAAGATAATGAAAATATGTTTGTACCATTTAAGATTAAGAGGCACTTTTCAGGTTATAAAGTTGTTAAGCTGACATGAAAATTGGATAGATGTTTATCATCAGAATATAACACTTAAGTCCCAATGCTAGGGCACTAGTTTGGATTGTATTCAACTAGTTGAAAGAACCAATATACCCACAGATTCAAATTATTACTAAATCTTATAATTTGAGCTTGGCAAGGTAAATCTTCACACCGAGAAACTAACTCTGTGCACCAAAAAAGAAACTCGCAAACAGCAGCCACGCAAAATTGGTGTTAAAATTCCTACATAAAGTATCATTTCTAGAAAAGTAAAATAAACTAATATGAATGCACTTTTTATGACCTGATAATAACTATGTTTCATGTTTATGGCAATCATGGTGAAACATAATGGAACAAATCTCAGGTGAGAATATTACTTTGTTAACTACACTATGGTCCAGTTTCAATAATGTATTTAACTGGACACACAATAATGTCCACACATGTAAACCTCCATCAAAAAAGGAATGACGGGGTCGAAAGTCGTTCTGCAAATCAATAGGAAAATAAGATACTCAATTTAATTTCATTTCCTAGAATAGAATGTGAATAAAATCAGATTTCTTTTTTGTAGGAAGGAGGCAGGATAGTGGTAGTAAGAATTTCATATAAAAACCATATCTCTGAAACAACACGCAAATCTTAGCAAATCGTAATTACCATCTGTAGATCACGACTCCCAGATGTACTCTCAACTAGATGGGGTCGAGTACGGACATCATAGATGACCGGCCTCTCAAACCAGGGAATTACAAAGTGAGTCCCTTCGGGATAGACCTGCATATTAACCAACAAATCAATTTCGAGACCAACACCGGAACAGAAGTTCAACATTGCCCACACTTCAAATGAGAATATAAGTAGCTCTTGTGAATAACATCAGCTACTACAGAAGGAGTGCTACAATCATATCCGGGTAACAAACTAACTGTCATGAAGCACTTAAATGCAGTAAATATCAAACCATGAAAAATTTCAATTCCATTTCATATAATATGACGAAACAATAACCTTGTCTTTGATACCAACTAGACGGTTGAAGACAATAGCTCGGTGTCCTCCTTCAACATTGTAGAGACTATTAGAAGCTGCATACAAACCAATTCCACCAATAATCCCAAGCTTCAGCAGCGCAGAGGCCGCGCCACCACGTGGAACATTCGGAACTTTCATGTTCTTCATATTCATCTACTTAATTAATTCAACAGAAATGGACAAGCAAAAAACGTCATGAACAGTCGCGGATATCAGAGGAAAGAAAACACAAACACTTGATCCAAGATCAATGAGCTCAGAATAAGAAAATGACTATCGAGGGGAAATATTAACCGAATTATATGAAAATTCTCAACAATTGGGACAAAATAGACATGAAAAATAAAGTTGATTGAGTAACAAGATTCTCTGGGAAAATGGAAAGAGTTATACCTTGGAATTCCGGTTGACGCCGATGAGAAGGGATTGCGGTTATTAAAGGGTTTATGCAGCGTTTGTGTAGGGTTTAAACTTTTCCCAAGAAAATGACACTGAACGGCTCACACGCCGCACGTGACAGAGAAAACTACTTTAATTGGGCTGCGGATCACAACCGGCCCATTGAACAAAAAAATTATTTTTTGTAACATCATACTTCTTCTAACTCCATAATTTCTCTTTCCCCACCACATAATTAAATTAAACCTCATTTTATCTACATTTTGGATTGACATTTTTGAAATACTCAAAACATATTTTCAAAAACAACAATCTAAAAATATATTTTTTTAATTATCTGTATTTTAAATTGACATTTTTGAAACACTCAGAACATATTTTCAAAAAGAACAATCTAAAAATATATTTTAGAGTGTGTGTTTTAGAATATATTTTTTAAAAATTCAATCCAAAAATATATTTTAGATTGAATATTTCATATTTCTAAAAAAGTTAATTTAAAAATATATTCCAAAACATTCCATCTATAATCTATTTTCTAAAATATATTTTGAAACCCTCCATCTAAATAGTATTTTTAGATTGAATTTTCTAAAATTTAATCTCACTTTTATAATATTATTTTAAATTAAACAATTTGGACCATTTATATAATTTAAGTAAAAAATGTGTAATTTATAAATAATATTAACGGTTACTTACTTTTAATTATTATAAAAGATATTTAATATAAGTGATAACATAAAAAATGGAAACGTAGAGGTTGCATAAAAATAAAATAACGTAAAAAAATAAAATTATAAAAAATATATTTTAGGTATTTGCCTGGAATATGAATATGAATACAGAAATTACGGTAGAAGAATTACGGGTACAGAAAGGAAGAGCAATATGCATATTCACAATTTCAAATATGAATAAACATATTAATATCTAATGTTTGCAAAATTTTAATTATTTTCTATAGAATTGTTTCTGGAATGTACATGCATGATTTTGAAAACCAATTTCATAACGTGAAACGTTTCGAAATCAGTTTAGGAAAAAAGAATAAATGAAAAACAAAAAAACAAAAAACAATGACGGTCTCACTTATAACAGAATAAGGATTCACGCGAAAAATGAGGGTCGAATATAAATGGTTACTAATATTCGGAAAAAATATATTTGAAATTAAATTTTATGAAATACTTAACCTTAGGGCAAGTTTGATTTTGCATTAGAAAAAGTCAAATATGGATTTATGATCACATTCAAGTTGTGGAAAAGTTTACTACGATTTTAGTTAATATTGTGCACACATTAATTATTGTTGTTTACAATTTTATTGTTTAAACCCACAAGTTTGAGCCTTATTGGTGGAAAGGAATACTCCATTACAAGTGGTCCATTCAGTTTAACTAAAAGTCGTCGTGAATATTAAAGAACCAAGCATTAAGTTCAAAATGTTAGGTTGACAAAATTAATTAAAAAAAAAACTATAAAGCGGGAATTCAATTAGTTTTAAAAGAGAAAAATCAAGTAATAAAAAAGGTAAATAATAATATTCTCATCTAAATTTATACTATATTTTTAATAGGTCATTTAAATGAATATATATATATATATATATATATATATATATATATATATATATATATGACTTTGATATATGAGAATAAAATTAAAAAACTTTATAAACATATAAAATGGTTAATAGTTTTTTGTTGGCAAATTTTGGGTCATGTATATATATGATACATATTTAAATGTGTTAGGGTCATTATTTATTAAGCCAAATAATAAAGTGATCTGACTAAATTAAAGTTTTGACTAAAGGCATATGTCATGAAAATAAAATTGTGTAGAGACCATAGAAGCAATTTCTAATTTGATGAGGGGTCAAATTGGAAATACTAAAACTTAAGTAATTAACCTAATTCCGGTTATCTAAAGGGTCATGGTCCCCTTCCGAGGCACACACGTAATCGAATCCGTTCCTTTCTTTCTATCCCCATCAAGAAAGAAAATCAAGAGGGAAATACAGGTGCTTCTTCAGGTGAAAGACCATAAGATCAATATAAGTGCTCTACAAAGACATCATCATTATGGTTAATTCAGTGTACGCTTTCGCATTCAGCTTACGACATGTTTATCAAGTATGGGATTATGTTTATGTTTGATTGTTAGAATCAAAATCGGGATTATTATTATTGTTATTGTTTTTCCAACAATTGGTATCGAGCCGCCCATATTTGATTCATGTCTGCTTAATTTATAGAACCCTAATTATGAAAATTAGGATTAATTTTGTTTTAAACAATTCAGATTACCCAATTTTATGAACCCTAAGTGGAGGATAATCTCTAATTTTTGTGAACCCTAAAATTTAAATTTGGGGGTAACATCCCCAATCTGATTCTCGCTTGCTGATGGAACCGTGGAGGAAGCTATGGATTCTTCTTCTTCTTCGTTTTTCACTTTTGTTTCAGCTTTAAGTTTCAAGTTTTACCGAGAAAGAAATAGTGTTTCATATTTCAATTTTTCTTGTATTGGGTTCTCTGTTCTTTTTTGAATCTTTTGTTTTTATTTAACTTTATGGGTTTGGAATTGGGGGTGGTGTTTGTGGAGTTCCCAACACGGAGAATCTTAGGTAAATGATGAATGTTTCCACATGTTTGGTCGTTATTATTTTATTGCCTCTATCCCCTAGGAATTTAAGGAAAATTTTGATGTTAAATTAGGGTCCGAGTGATTACTCGTTTAATTCTCTTTTAGGGTTTAGAGCAGTATGCTAAAGAGACTCGGAACTATCTCTCGTTTCATCCCTAGTGTGATTTTAGGAAGATGTTCATCCTTTATGTATTGGTGGAAAATGAGGCCTTTTTTCATCCTTTGATTTGTTCAAATGAGGTGTTCATCCCTAATGAGATTCTAGGGAGGTGTTCATCCTTAGTAGAATTATAATGAGGTGATTCTCTTTTGAATTAGTTTGCAAATATTAAATATTTGGTTTTGTTATATAAATAAAATATTCAATTTTTGGTAGTTTAATATTTTTTGTGAGCAAATTGAGTCAAGAAGTCACTAAAGTAACTTCTCTTGAATTGGGCAGTTCATGAAAAATATTAAATGTTAGTGTTTGTGTATATTCATGCGAGTATTAGTCGACCCAAAGGAAGATTAATATTTGGCCGAATTGCATACACACTTGTAATAATAAACATGTGATAATTATAAGGATTTGCTTTGTCGATGATAAATCAATCCAAAGACTGGTTTGTTGTTGGACGTGCTTTATTGTCAATGTTTGATTATTACAACAAGATACCTCTAGCAGTTAATATTACTGTCCAAAGACTTGATATTGATGGTGCATTGGGTATCTTGAGATGGGTTAAACCACTATTTGAATATATATTATTTATTTTTTATATAATGTGAGCTTTGGATTGGGCGACAACTTAGTCTGAAGCATTTCCATGTGTGGGATTGTCCAGCTGAGGCAAGACCTTATAAGTCAAATGAAAAGAAATTGGACTCCCGAACAGTAAGTGGTTATATTATTGGTTATGCTGAAAGATCCAGGGGATATAAATTTTATGATCCCACCTTAAAGACAATTTTTGAGACGGGAACTACTACGTTCTTTGAGGATATTGAGTTTGGGGGGAAGAATAAAATCAAGAACTTTGTCTTGGAGGAAGAATCGGTAACAATTCCAGAACCGATTCAAACAGTTACTTTTGATGAAGTAAGTTCGGAACCTCCACAAGGTATTGTTAATGAACCCCTTACTCAAGATGATTTGGTTGTTCATGAAGAACAAACTCAAGATCCTCAAGAACCTGTGCATCATGAGCCAATAACTTTGCGGAGATCCACTAGAGAAAGAAGAAGTGCTATTTCGGATGATTACATGGTATTTCTTCAGGAACATGAGGAAAATAATGATATAATGGAAGATGATCCAGTTAACTTCCGTCAAGCTATACAAGGTTCTAACTCTCAAAAGTGGATTGAAGCAATAGGATAAGTATAAGTCCATGCAAGACAATAAGGTTTGGGAACTTGTCCCATTACCAGAAGGTATAAAACTTATTTGGCTTCAAGATGAATATTGTTGATGATTGTATGTATCACAAGTTTAAAAAGAGACAAGTTTAGTCTCAATCAGTGCCCAAAGAGAATTTGGAAATTGAGGAAATGCAAAAGATTCCCTATGCATCAGTTGTAGGGAGTTTGATCTATGTCCAAGTATATACGCATCCAGACATAACATATATAGTTGGGGTTTTAGGCAGATATTTAAGCAATCCAGGAATAGACCATTGAAAAGTAGCAAAAAGGGTCATAAGATATTTAAAGAGAACAAAAGATTATATGCTCACAATAGGAGGTCAGACCAGTTGGAGATCGCTGGATTTTCTGACTCATATTTTGCAGGATGTCAAGAATTTGTAGCATGCTATGAGACATCAAATCATGGAATATGGCTGAGAAATTTTGTCACAGGGCTGCAAATTGTGAAAGGCATTGAAAGACCACTTAAGTTATATTGTGACAATAAATCAGCTGTATTGTTAAGGAAAGAGTACAAAGTGAACAGATTTCCATAGAACACTTAAGGACAAACTCCATGATAGCATATCCTCTAACTAAAGGACTTCCGCCCAAGGTCTTTCATGAGCATGTTGCTCACATGGGTGTTTTACAGTTTGAGGAATTTGTGGTTTAGTCGGAGTTAGTCATTTTCATATATTTTATGTTCTATG